TCATTAACGCAGTTCGTACAGTCCATGTCATGTGCCTGCGCTACAACAGCGTCCTTTCAAAGATACGAAGCCAGTAACCAATCTATGGGATACAAGATCCAATATAGGACTTCAGCTTATGAAGCAAAAATACTGGGGATAATGGGAACGACCCGTTCTTCAAGTGCCTGAGCACTGCGGGTCCCAACTTTACGTTGGCTCGATCTATAGACTCCTTGGACGAGGGATCGGCCCATCGCAAGGCCTCTACCTGTACACAACACAGAAAGACGCGGACAAAGGTTATGAATGTGTGGTACTTCACTTCCATGCCTTTCCTATCACTCCATACGCTCACTCACTTTTAACATCCTCGATTTAGTAACATATCAGAAAGAAATATGGAAATATTTTATGTAACTGACCTAATACTCTTGTGATATTTCACTAATTATGAAAGTTCATAAAATTTCAGGAAACAACACATTACAGGTTCTTCAGCACCTGAATCTGTGATTATCTAGCCAACTTACCCAGCTTCATCAGCGACTTGTTGCATGAGATTATCCACGTCACTCTGCGGTACAGCAGTAGTGGTTGTCTGAGACATTGTGTTCTCCATATACGAGCTCTGAACATCCAAATCTTCGAACTGATTCTCAAACTTATCCATAAGGTTTGAAATCTTTTCAAGATTCATTGATTTCATTGCCGCATCCATTGCCTTCACTACTCCAGCCATAGACTGAGTAACCTAATTACAAAAATACCATAACTTCTCAAAAGTTATTTCAAACGTTACAACTTAATATGTACAAATATAAAAGCAGGTGCACTGTAGTTTGAGATCGTTTCCTACGTCTGCCACATGCGCTAACTAAAATGCCTGTTGCCCAACTTTAACCAAAATTAAAATTTGTGTCATTTTAGTAAAACTCCCCAACATAAAATTTCATGAAAACCCCATTCATCGATTTTATAGGCATCCACATGGTTGAAAATTTGTCTGTAAAACTCAAAATATTGATATGCTGCCCTAACATTGCTTGGAGAGGCTGAGGAAAACAAAAACCTCAGTCAAATGGACTCCATACTGAAAAGTAAAACAAGGTGCCTCTCAGTATTGTGAAGCATTCTTTAAACTACCCAGCATCTCAATGGAGCAAAGTACTCAGCTAGTCAAGAAATTCCATGTCTTTTATGGAACCTAAAGTTTCATTACCATGTTCACAAAAGCCTGCCTATCCTGAGCCATAACAATCTACTCTGCACCGTCCTACCCCATTTAATTAAGATCCATTTTCATGTTCACACTTAAACAATTTCTCAATGAGTTTTTTTTTAAGATTTTTGCAATATATTTCCATGATTTATTTCAGTATCACTTGAGCAAGATAAAGCAACACATCTGTAAGTTCAGAAACCATAACCTATATATTACAGGTGTTGATTATATTTTTTCAAGTAAGAACATAATTTTAAAACTATGAAAATTATGCTGCCAGATCAGTGACTGGTGTTACTATACCACTGATCACATGCATGCGGTCAAGAGATGAAGAGACTGTAGTATCAATCCAGTTGTATAATAAAAATCCATTACCCTTCTAGTGGTCAATGCTGACTGCACTCGACTGGCCACAGCATCAACTCTTGCACTCATCCTTAGATAATTCAATGATTGGTTCTTCTGACGAATGGCATTCTCTGCATGGATACGACCACCTTCAACATTGCCCTTCTGGATAGCTTTCTTACACTTCTGTTTCTCCATTCTTTCCTCTTTTTCACATTTTTTTGAATTTCTCTCCAACTCTTTTACAGCAAATTTCAGATTAAATAAATGTTCTAAGTAATTTAGTTAAAGGACCACATTTGTGTTAAGACCTAAGTTTACACAGTAAGTTTAAAAAACAAATTTTATTAAGTAAATTATGGAAATGATTAGAAGGAAACATGCAGGGATTTCAGATACTGTGAACAGCTCTAAACACCATTTGTCAATAAAATCATCTAACAGCATAATCAAATAAAATCTGAAATGGAAAATAAATATGAGCTGAATACAAATGGGATATGGCAATAATAGATGTCTGACCTGTCCCAGAAGGAATGGAATAAAAAAGTAAAGGTGTCCCACTATATTGACCTTGGCACTAGATGGAGGTGGAATGGTGAATGTAAATACACATGGCAACAGCTTTAATAATATTCAGCAAAGTTTTCGACTCTATCTAATTGATCTGAAAGGAACAAAGAAAAAATGAACTCCATCTTGTTGTACAGCAAATGCACTTTCCAAGATAGGTTAATGTATTACGAGCTACTGAAATGTAAAGTTACTATGAAGGTTAAAGAGCATAATACTGCCTGGGACCATGCACCTACTAAATTTCTTGGCATTCTTTCGCCTCAAAATACTCTTTTGTGTGTATGTTGTTCGCTTTTATTAGGTTATATCTGATTAGTTATGTCGAATTACATTTCAACTATTTCATGAAATTCGTATGTACATTTAATCTACATCAACCTATGTACCAAATCAATGTTTAACCAATACATTTTCTGGCCCAAGAATTTAATACAAAATATGTGTGTAATGTAGCGTTTTCTTCGTAATTCTAATGCATATAAATGTCAAAAGGATACTTTCCATTGCTGATGAAGACATGTAACGTCTACTAAGAAATGCTACCGAGTATTCAACTTAAGAACTTATTATTTGACAATGGCTGTAAGTTGATAATAACGATAAATAACACTTCAGCAACAAACACAATATTCACATCACATATAGACTAAAACACATTCATTCTTGACACCTTGTGCAACAGCAAATTCACAGATGACGTAACACAGATTAAAAACAATTAAGCATACGCAGAGACAGAGAAATTGGTATTAACTGTGATCTGCGGTACTAAATTTGTGATGCGGAATAGCGTATTAATATTGCGTAGAAGTATGTAAGTGTTGGCGAACGGAATATAGATACAGCTTTGTTTGATATGGTTCGTAATATTGGGCCTTGCTTACAAAGTAAAAAGTTTTGCGTATTTCACTGCAATTGAAATACATCTGGTTTATTAGATTCACAGAGGAGTGTCTTTAGAACTGGTGATTACAATCTTTAGCTTATAAGTCTGTCTGCAGTGAACTATTGTGACCTTAGGGACAGATTATTGAGTTCGCTTAAGGAAGCTGTAGGGTTGTTACAGAACACATTTATTCGAAATGTCAAGTGATTTAGAGTCTTTCGGCATTCTTTTTGAGTTACAATGGAAGAAGAAACCCGGTGGAAATAATCGAGAGGATGTGGCAAGTTTAGGAATATGGGATACACCAGATTCATCTTTGGATTGGTTGACATTTAAATCATATGTAGTAAGTGATTGAAACTAGAGAGTTTGTTGCAGTTGTAGTGCATGTAAAACTGTTACATATATCAATTTGGGTGAAGTCTATAAACGTACCTTTTCATGAACATGCAGAAAATGTAAAATCTGCTCTTTTTTTATATCTATGTATATGCAGACCACTCCAAAAAATTAACTTTGGGGCTGTCTCTAATGTGCTCATCTGTAGCATGAGAGTGTTCTGATTCCTAGATGTGTATGTTCTGTTCGTTTACCTTCCTTGAAACGTGGAGTGTAGCCTTATTAGAGAACATGATTTTTCTCATAAATTCATTGTCTTCATTTTCCTAACACCTGATGCACTGAAAAATGTGGGATTTGCAGCACACGCGCTGCAGCTTGTGTTGACGTAAGTGGATTATGAAGAAAGATCCTGTGTGTCCTTTCGACACTTTTATCAAACACTTGTAGGTGCTGTGTGCCTCTCTTGTACAAAAGACTTTTACTCTACGCACCTATCAATTGTATTTTTTGGTATGTTGTTCTGAAATGTTTTTGGACCTGTGTGTCTGATTTCATTTCAGTAAACCACTCCACACACTTTGCCTTGTCCTGCGGGTTTATGGTGACTGACTTAATTCACAAAGATGGATGCAGTGATCTACCAGGAACTCTGTGAAAGTTTGAGTTTTTCTCTCACTGACAACTCTTTTTTTATAAAGATTTTATCCATGAATAGAGTTGTAAAGATAATTCATATGCATCCTACACCTTACTATCTTCATTATATACACTTCATCACACAAGCAAAGGTTCCATATACCAAACTTTCCTCATAATATAAAGAGCACGTAGACATACAAAGTGAGACTGTCATAAGCCCAACCTTCTTTATATAATATTTAAGTGTTCATATTTTTCAGTGCTAAAAGAGCATTGGCTTGAAATTTTCTGGATAACTTAGGATGTTCAAATGAAATTATTACATGCGACTTTGCCCCCCCCCCCCCCCCCCCCCTTTTCCCTGGCACTGGGTGGACTGGCCAACGTTTTAAAGGAGCATGCTCTCTCCATCTTCAGTGCTGAAGATTGAGACCATATGCTTCTGCATAATGTTGGCTTCTGTCTTTAGCCCTGAAAATGGAGACAGTATGTTCCTCCAAAACATTGGCATCTACCAGCCAGTTCATATTGCACCAGAAGCCAAAAGAACATCACCGACATTGTCACTGCCATGAAAACCTCAAATGTCACATTTCTGGTTGACTCTTAAAATGTCAAACTTGACAGTTGTAGAGCACGTTGCATGTATTAGCAGTATCTGTATGTGGATGTTATTTGGTGTGAAATTGCAGCTCGGAATGCCATCTGTAATGCAAAGACTGGTCTCGTGAACAGTAAAATCTTATTTTTGGCTGAAATTCTTTATTATGAAGGCAAAAAGAAAACTGAGAGCACTTAGAATATTCAGAACAGTGTGTTTGTGTAAAATGTTCTTCTTCCGTGGCGTAACAGCCCAAAGTCAAGCCTTGGCCTCGTCCCACGTGGGAGGTTTCTTTGTCTTTGATGCGTGCATTTATGAGTAGCGAGCGACAAACCCACTGCCTCTGCACAATTTCTATTCAATCCTGATTTGACTACTAGAGCCATCTAGTAGTGAATCAGGAGAGACTTGGGTGAGAAATGGCTACCGAGTTTTGCTTATGAAACATCTCATTCATGCTCATAAGGTTCTTTTACATGCCATAAATCTGCGACATGGGACCTCTGGCTTTACTTCCCCTAGGGTTTTTATCACCCTTAAAAATCCTTCGACCTCGGCCGGGTTTGAACCCGCTAACCTTGCGTCCAGTGGCGAGCACGCTGAGGGCGACTTGCGTAAAATGTTGGTCCTTACTGTTACCACAACATTCTATAGCCACGTGGAGGCTGTCCGTACATGTCTGTGCCAGTCAGTTTATGCTTGAACATTTGTGTGAAAATCTCTCATAATTAAGAAAAATTCCTGTGTCGTCTAACATTTTAAAGAATAGGAGAATGATGGGGACATTTGGAATTTACTACAGTATATTTTCTTTTTTTAGTGTCAGAATTTGGGGACATTGGAAGACATCTATGTCACTTACGTAGACAGTGATGGTGATGAGGTAAGTTTACTTTTGTATATCACATTATTTTTGGCTTTGTATAGATTTTAAATTTTTACTCTGTATTCAGGTGTTTATATTGCTGTATGGTAGTCGGCGCACTAGTTTTTTCAAGGGGAAGGCTAGGAGCGAGTCTCTTTTGCGATAGTATAATGCTGACTGCACCGAGGAGCTTATCGGACTGAACGCCCAAACAAAAGAAATACGCTGACCGTGCCACCTCAGGTACACAGAGTAGGGCCGTCCGCCAGCTCCTCCACCGGCCAAAAACTACTTCAGTGTCAGCTCTAATGCTTTTGAACTATTTCAGGTCACAGCAAAAATGACTTCAGAGGACAAAATAGTCTAAAAGTTCTTGATGACGATATCGAGTCATTTGAATAAAAATTTTCTTGGATATTATCCATCGTCTAGTAAAATAAAATATAAAACGACGTTTCAGAGATTGGACTCTTTCTCTGTCTTCCGGTGCCTATTCAGTTGGGCCCACTAGATAGAGCTAATCCCTATCTCCGGACCGGAGATACAGCCCAATCTCCGAAACGTTGTTTTATATTTTATTTTACTAGACGATGGAGGGTTGAATCTTCAAGATGCGAGCCTTACATGCTCACAGACGTAATCAGTTGGAACTTCGGGTACAGCACTATTGTGAACTCCAAAAAAAAAGTTAAAAAAACATAACATTTTTGCTTGGTCGAACCTGCCCCTACTGACAGTTTGGATAGCATTTGATTCCATGTAAGCGTGAAAGTCAATATAGTATCTTGAAGGCAGCGACTGAAAGTGAATTCATTGATGTGTATTTGTTTTGCATTATCTTTTTCTGTTTTGTTTCCTGTTGTTGATTTATATTTGTATAGGCAACTGATATTTCGCAAGGAGACTAATGTTTTCAGACTTTGTGCTGTGAGTGTACAGCCACACCTCGTAACGTTGCAGGTGATTGTTTACGGCAATTCTCAGGCGTTCTGCGACAAGCTGTGTTTGGGAATGTGTGACATTCTTAACTAAGCAGAGGCATAGAGGGTGGGTTAATGGCATCAGAAGGCAAAATTTCATGTATACTTAGATCTACAGAAAGAAAATCAAGGTGCCAGGAAAGAAACCCTCATTTTATACATTTTCTGTATATTGAGTTTAACAATTAGTGTCAAAAATCTTTTCAACTATAATGAAATTGTGTCAGTTACACTATACTTCAGTGGTCCACAACGTGGTGCCCGTCAAGGCTTTTTTTGGGTGCCCGCGATGTTACGGAAAGAGGTTATACTGAATAATGAAGGCTGTTCAACCACGAACATTATAAAATCAAAGCGCAGATCTCGACTTACTGACGCCCATCTTGACGATCATCCTACACTCCCAAATTTGAAAAACTGACCGATGAAATGCAGCGCCAAACATCACACTAACTTCTCACTTGAGTAATAATAATTGTTCTTATAAAACTACGTATTTTTGATTGGGTGGTTTCTTGTATCATTAAACGTCGTGATGTTATGTGTATTATTTGGTGTCGATATCTTATTTGTCCAGAGAAAAGAAAATTTGGCTTTGTTAATTGGTTGGTGCCCGCCACGATCTCATAAACTCTCACATGTGCCCGTAGGCACAAAAAGGTTGGGGACCACTGATGTAGAGGAACCAGTAATTTTGTCATTTCTGTAATATATTTATTTTTGAATGTGTGAATTATTTGCATTTTACTGGTGGGAAAAAATTATTGTTTATACAAATAACATATTAAGCCCAGAAGTGATACTCGTCAGATACTGAATGTGATTATTTGTACTTGTAATATATAGTTTAATGTTTATTGACAGTTCAAGAGTGAAATTGTAGCTGAAGTTACCGCAAATGTGATGTGTAACACAAGACAGGTCATAGAGAGTGCTAAGGTGAACTGCCATCCCCCTTGCCATTGTGGTGGGAGGAATGGTGGATCAGTGACTACCACCAAGACAAAAAAAAAGACTTCTGATGAGGATTCTTCAGATGGTGCTTTGGGCAGTGACCAGAGGTCAGTAGAAGAAAAGGGAAAATATGATATTTTCAAGCCAATCTGATTTGTTAAATGTTTACATGATAATTAATGTTGTGAACAGCGTTTTTATTTAGGATTTGAGGTTTTCACGGCGGTGAGTATGAAGATTTCTGTCTTCTGGGTTGTTGCGCTGTGTAGTCTGGTCGATGTTTACTACCGTTTCAGAGGTCATACTGCCTCCGTCATCAGGGCGATGAATGCGCCAATCTTTTTATAATCGCGATGGATGAAGTTTGTGACTTGTCCCAGTTACAAGGATTAGATTTTTTTGTTCGTGCGCTTGCGTGCGCGCGCGCACACATCTTGACATTTCCTATGCTTCAGTTTATGTTAACAGCTTCAATTTTTGGTGTTAAGGCATTCTTTCGAAAAGTTGGTTATTTCTTTTTATAGTTTGTTGTTATATATAATTTCCAGTTTGTCACTGTTACGTTCATTGCATTTATGGTTTGTCATTCTGTTTCATGTGACGACTCTGAGGAACAGATTTCTGTTGTTTTCTATTCTCATTTGTTCTTTTATTAAAATTCACATCTTTCGCCTGCTTTATTTACTACGAAATAAAATTGACTTGCTGTTTGGAATTTGCAGGCATCATAAATTACTGAAAAAAATAGAGAAACTTCAGAAGCAAGAGAGGAAACTTGAAAAGAAACTGGACTCCAAACTTGAGAAGTTGGAGAACAAAACAAAACGAAGAATGGAGAAGAAATTCCAATCTAAACCTTGCTCTGATCAAACTTTTGAGAAGAAGGCATGCTCAGGTACTAGGAAGAGAACGAGCGATGGACCGGTGTGTACATATTTAATGGACGCTGTACCACTTAGCGATGGACCCAAACCTGCAGAGACACATATAAGACTAGGCGAGCGCTTCACTAAAGTGTGGGAGATCATGAACAGTGGTACTCTTCCATGGACTGATAAGGTAAAGTAAGCTAATGCCACTGATGCGCACAGAAATGAAAAGATTTTTTTCTCTATTATAGAGTTGTGTGTGAAAAATGACAAAGTTTCTCAGACCAAGAAATTGATGCCTTTCCCTGTGGTTCCATATTGTAACATTTTTCCTTTTAATACTCCGCAAGTCATTAATTGTAATTACTTGTGTCCGTGGCTCACGGTAGTGAGCTTGTGATTCATATTGTAATATACTTCGTGGCCAAATAATCATTTTAAGCATCTCCCACACCTAAAATATGCATTGTCTCTTAAAGTAATTGCTACTGCAAGAACTCTTGTTTTTTGGTAAGCTTTGCTCTGCTTGTCGCTGACAAAAAGACTTGAAAGGGTAAACTAATCTTTGAATTGTTCGGTTGCTGCAGACTTGCCGTTTGACATGTGCATAGCAATGACGGCGTGCAGACTTGCCGTTTGACATGTGCATATCAATGACGGTACGTTTCATTACTATAGTCAACGTTGAAGATTTCTGTCTTCTGGGCTGTTGCCCTGTGTAGTCTTGTAGAAGTTTACCAATGTTTCAGAGGTCATACTGCCTCCGTCATCATTGTACTGATGATGGAGGCAGCAAGGGCCTCTGAAACATCAGTAAAATACTACCAGACTACAATCGGAAAGGGTGAGGAGATGGGGGCGAGGATCATAAATTCATTTCTATTAAGAATTATTTACTTCTCTAAATGCTGACTGCTCTGAACTGTGAACCCTTCGTATTCATTAACGATTTTCTGTCCAGACTGAGCTGAGGTTGGCGTGGGGAACTTCTGGCTTGGAGCCTATGGCAACAGTTCTGAAATGCCCTGTTTTAATGCCTGGAGAAAAGGGCATAGTTGCTGTCACTTTTCAGGCGCCTGGTAAGTGTTTTATGTAGATCGTTTAGGATTGAAATTAAAATTTGAAATTTGATTTTTATTTCCACACATTTGCTTTAACATGATAAAATTAACTAACACAAGATACTATAAAACACTTGAAATAAATTGTTGATATTAGCAAATAAATTAAGTAATTGATGAAGGAAATTAAATTTCTATTTCAACTTAAGTCAGAATCAACCAGGTTTGCCGTGGTTACGTGATTATTCTTTAAAAACATGGTGTCTGCGTCATGTTCATGCCATCGATTGTTGATCTTGAATCCTTTCTCTCATCTTGTTAATTTGTTTCTTTGTTATTTTAGAATTTACAGGAACATTTGAATCTTATTGGCATTTTTACCATATGGGAGTCAGATTTGGACATTGGTTGGGATGTGCCGTTGTTGTGGATTCAAAAGAACCTGAAAAGCAAGAAGTTAGTAATATGGTACCCATTTCCAGCAGCATACCGGTTGGATGGCATGGTAAATTGTTGTCTTTAGAACGTATTATATTAACTTTCATTATATCCCCTCTCCCTTTTAACAGATTATTTTATTTATATTTCATTTAATATAAAATTGTCAGCTCCCTGAAAATTTTATCAACTATTTTTATAATGAAATTTCATATTTGCCTTATCATTTTATTAGCAATCAACATAAGTGAATGTGAAATGTTTAGTGTATTTTTTCTTTTTGTAATTTCAGAATCAAATTGTGACAATGAAAATAATAAAGATAAAGAAATGTCCAAGGCTAAAGTAGACCAGCCAGTTGATTTGAGAAAGAAATATGAACCTGACCAAATGGCAAGCTCCTCAGTCGTAAAATGTGTGGTTCGGTTGGATGACACATATGACAAAATCAACGAAGATAAGACAGCGTCCACTGAGAGCGGGAAAGTTGAAGCCAGACAGAGAAATGCAGAGTATGAAAGTGACTCTGATGATGAAAATCTCAGTAGTGTGATATCGGTCACTTTTTCTATTACTTCAGAATCTGAAGAAGATGAAAACTTTGTTGTAGTCCCAATGCCACCATGTTTCATGTGTGATGCTCCACTAGATAAGTCAAGTAAGTTTTATATTTAAATTATGCATAACTAACTAGATGGCTTACCGAACCCGAAGGTTCATCACCGAATTAACCAAAGCCCTCCACCGGACCCTGTCCTGGGCTAACAAAATCCAGTCTCCTTCAACTTTCATCACCGAATTAACCAAAGCTCTCCACCGGACCCTGTCCTGGGCCAACAAAATCCAGTCTGCTTCAACTCCTATCTTCTGCCCGACATTATCCTCCCATCTATGGCTAGGTCTCCCCAGCGGTCTCTTCCCCTCAGGCATCCATGCGCGCTACATGTCCCGCTCATCTCATTCTTCTCGACTTATCACCCTGACAATATTGGTGGAGGAGTACAGATTTTTAAGCTCGTCATTATGCAATTTAAATTATGCATAAGCTTTCTTTTTATTTTTAAAGCTTTCAGGAACAAGTAAACTGCCTTCAGGGAAGACAAAAATTGCATCAAGTGTTAAAAGACTGATTAAACTATATTTTTTTGGAATTGGATCTGAAATCACACAGTAGAATTGTATGTAAGGATAATTCTTTCGTCTGTATTCGAACATTTAGTGAACGTCTACCAGAATACATGGCGTAACAAACCAGAAGACAGCCGTCTTCATGTTTTTAAATGTTTATGGCTCTAATATTTAAATAATTGAATGTATGCAAGATTTCATGGACGTGCTACATTTTCTAATATTTGTCTATCGCATCACAGTTTTCTGTAGGATCTTTGTGTAACTTTAAATACTAAAGGCAATATAAAAATCTTTTGAGCATGTGCACTGTTTCAACTGTACGTTGATGATTGTCGATGAATCTCCACAGATTCTTTCCAGCAGTGTGAACTCGTGCAACGTGAATTAAACTGTATTTCTATGGGAAATAAACTGAAGCCGTTAAATCACACATACATATTTTTTGTATGATTGGGCTTTAATAAATTTTTGGCTGTTCACTTGTGATGATAGAAAAATTGTGTAGGCCATTCGGAAAGTAGATTGTTTTTCATAAAGGGAAAGTTTACGAAGAGGAGGTTTATTATGTGCAAGAATTTCGGAAGGAATGGATGCAAAGAGACCGTCTGTTTCAAGATACTGTTCTGGCATTTACGTGGACAGTAAAGGAAAATAACAGGTACTCCCAGCCAAAATAATACCCAGTCTTCTGGCTGACATTCAGACCAAGTATCTTTGAAAAGGTAGGAGCCGCTAGTAGTTTGTTGTGTCTCTTGCATATTTTGTTTCAGATATAGCTGAAAGAGCTGATTTTTGAAACAATACATTTTGGCTGCAGGCAGAAGTCCAGATGAAAGCAATTAAAGTTGAGTAGTGTCTTTTTTTTTCAAGTTTGCAAGTCTGAACAGATTACTTTTCCTGTATTTCATGTGTGATCGTACTGTCGTAACGATCTTGACCTCGTCTTCCTTCTTAAAGGACAAGGTTTAGGCTGCTGGGGCTCGGCATGTTGGACAATCCTAGCATCTTTTCATCTGATATATACTCCAGTGTTTTCTTTGGGATTCTAGCAACTTGCCATTAAGTTGGTAATTATTTACGATAACTAAGGTATCTCTAAATCTGCTCTAATCATAATACACATGCATTCCATGATGTATTTTAGTTTTGTGTTTACTGTGTATTTGACCAAACGTGTTTCAGCTTCTTGTGCCATCTTAAGTATCGCAGTATTACGTAAATTAACATAACGTCGTATGTCTTATATTCTTGTGCCTACTTCTGTTGTTGATTGTGCTTTTCAAGTATAATTCAGTAGTTTCTGCGACATCGAGTGATATCTGTATAACGGATGTTTTGTAATTTGTCTCTGTTGAAGATATTTTCTGTAAGGTGACTTGATTATTTATTGTTGGTGTTTTGATGGAATTTCACTCTTATTTATAAAGTTATTAAACACTGTTAGTTTGTAATATGTGATTGCTGTATCAGACGCATGCTTAACCATTTTTGAGATATGGGAATTTGAATCCACATGCCTCGTGGCCGGATTAAATTGGCATTAACCCTTCAAAGTGCGGAGCAGTGACTATTCGTTGCAATTTTATCCTATAATTTTTCAGTAAAATGTAGAGTATTATGGATGAATTAATTTACCACTTTATTTGAATTTTTAAATCATTAGACTGACAGCGTTGTTTATGTACCTTTTAATTTTGATACCATGTCTTTTGCTTATTTTTTTAAATATTGTAAAGTAGATGAGTTAGAGTGGCAGAAACCTCTTAACGCGTCGTACATAATTTAAGAATAACATTACTTTTGTTGTAATAAAATCAGATTCTCCCTGGTGATAGTACAAATTACTCTCAACGTGATCAAGCTTCTTGATGGTTGGTTCAGATGAAGTAAGCTCTTCTTTTTATTTGTAGAATTCTTTGCTGAGGCTACTCAACACTCCTTGTTATTTGAGTAGCTGTATGAATTAATATTAATACAGTTATTTATGTAGTAACAGTTCTGTTTGCTTGTACTGCTGGGGGAATATATAAGCATACGAAAAGGAAGAAAGCTTCTAGTGTTGAGCCAAGCAAGTGATTACCATTCTGACTTGTGTAAGAGTAGTGCCCAAATTGAATCTCGAACATGGCACGGACTACCCTGACAGGATTTCTTGTGGTTTTCCCCAATCACTCCGAGTGAATGATCAGGTAAAACATTTAAATAAACTATGATCACTTCCTCCCAGAAAATACACTTGTTATATGTAATATTTGTACAGATGGAGTATGGACAAGGATGTGGTCTGCACTACGCAATTTTTTTTTCTACGGAGGGTGATATTACAAAAACTCATCTCTTAAAGTTGTTGTTTCAATTACAAGAAGTCTCTGACAGTCTGTGAAGCCTTAGAAGCATTTTAGAAACATACAGTGCTGTTCATTTGATTGTATAACTTTTTCATAATAGCATGACGTAACAGGACAACGTAGTCCCATTCAGGCAACCATATACACTATCTAATGGTACATACCTATTCTGCGTAGCCCTGAAGGGTTAATTCCCTTGATTGTTGGCTATGTATGTAGAAGTAGCATGTACACACTTGTGGTTATGTTGAAGGGACCCTGTCTGTACCTACGCAGGGTGTGCCGCAGGTTCCGACATAGAATAGACAAGAGTACACATCATATTATTGTGCTGTCATAATGAAATACGTTTCACTTTTTTTGTTGCATAGGACTTTGCACTTGATAATCATTCTGTGACAACCTAAAAATAAATTAATGCCAACACTTATTGTTTATAATATATTTTGTTGATATGTGTAAATGAGACCTTGAAATGTATATAAAATGTTTGTTAAATATGTAAAATGCACATATATGAAATTACTGTTGATGGTGTGTTCATCGCCACATAAACAAGGTACAGATATTTTGCTGCTAACCAGTTGTGGGGTATCTGCCAGTGCAGACGTGCATGCCGAGTGTTAGGTTACCACAGCGCCTGCTATCTTGCTTACACCTCAGTTAGCCTCATGAGAAAACTGTGGCTGAATGCGCAGCTGTAACTGACTTTGGTGAATTATGCTACGTGCGTCATCAATTTTACATCATTTTTTTTTTGTTCTCTGTACTTACAGATGCAGTACCTCAGGTGGAAAAGTCACAGAATGATACACATGACGTGCAGATTGAATCAGAAACAGATATACTTGATACTGTACCTAGCAGTATGCCAGATGCTTCGTGCACTGTGAACACAGATTTTGGAACAGCAAATAATGGACAGAACTCTAACTGTGAAGTAGAAGACAGTCCAGTACCAGAAATGAGTATTGAAACCTCCTCACATGACGATCCCTCATCACATGGGGGAACTGAATATGTGATGCCTTCAAGGAATGAGGTTTATGCTGTGGATATGGCAGGTCATTGTATGCCAGTGGATTTTGTATGGACAAGTCATAGCAGTAACCATTATAATAATACATTTGTTGATAACTCGGATATGAATGCTCATTCGTCAAAGAGCAGCTCCATGACTGATTTGGAGCCTCCCCAGAATCAGGGGAAAAGAGGGGAAACTAAACATGACCAAACTAACGGAAGGAAACCTTCACTCCACTCAACAGCTGGCTCTCCGACCATCACTGGTCCAATTGACAGGAGTCGCTCTACTGCACAACCAGATAGAAATGGACAGACACCTGGTAGTTCATCTAATAACACGGCCACTTCACCAACGCATAGCACTCAAAATGGATTTGAACAACATGAAAACCGAACACCATCTTTGAACACAGCAGAGGCCTCATCTCCGAATCAACCCCAAGAAGGCATTGCAGCAGCAGTCCATATCCTTCCAGAGACACTTGTCAATGGAGCGATTAATGTTGCATCTCAGGCTTACACTACAGCTCGTGCTGTTTTCAGCAACTTACGATCTAGACCTGGGGTAATTATTTATTTTGTTCCAACTGACTGTGGTATGTGATGCGTAAAAGTGTTTCCTCCACACGAATTACATGTATGTATGTATGTATGTAAATGGAATGGGCACTGAAGCAACCATCGCTGATGTTTTGTTAATCCATGAGCAGCCCTCCGCCTGCAATGAAGTATCTTGCTTAGCGATATCTCGTGATAGTCACCTGGTTTCAGGAAATACTTGTCCAAATGACAAAAATCGTGTTTCAGCTAGTGTTTTGCAGTTGAAAAGGACTTGTGAAGCTGTTTCTGTTTCTAGAGAACACCTAAAAATGGGGTCTTTTACTTTACTGAGTTTGAAGAGGTTTCCTCTTAAGTGACACTGTGTCTGTAGGAACTAGACAACTTATTTGTCATGTTGATAGGCATTATAAGTTCCTTTTTCATTTATTTGATTAAAAATATTACAATTTTGAAATAGTAGCCAGTATATGATTGAAATGTAGATCTGTTCAACTCCCCCGCCCAATTTTATGGTATAATACTTTTTCATATAATAATAGTGAATTTTCAGCCTTTAATTCTGTATGCAAACAGAGAAGGTGATGTGAGCATTGCGAAGAAGTTGATCCTAGTAGTCTGGGCTTGTAATCCTGGGGTCTCGGGTTCGATTCCCGGCGGTGCCCGAATTTATAACTTGTGTTGGGCAAGGCCGTGGTTTAGGCAACACGGAGTTTTCCTCTGGGGGCTTCCCCGGTTTCTCCGTGGCATCCCAACAATTACTGAATTCACACACAGAAGAAGGCAATGGCAAACCACTTCTGGATCATCTGCCAAGAACGTATATGAACAGGTCCCAGTTCGAGAAAAGGATGGAAGGATCCTGTTCATATGGACCTGTCGTCAGACAGAACACTAAATAATAATAAGATGAGGTGGTCTAGCGGTTAGAACGCTGGCCTTGTAATCCTGGGGTCTCGGGTTCGAATTTATAACTTGTGTTGGGCAAGGCCGTGGTCTAGGCAACACGGAATTTTCCTCCG